AGGTCATGATCCCAGGGTCCTGGGATTGAGCCCCGCATTGGGCTCTCTGCTCGGCAGGGAGCCTGCTTCCTCCTCTCTCTCTGCCCGCCTCTCTGTCTACTTGTGATCTCTGTCAAATAAATAAATAAAATCTTTAAAAAAAAATTTTTTTTTTGGATGAATCTAACTGAAATCATGAGAATGGGAATATGTAATTTTGTATGCAGTATTGAAATCAGAGAAAGGCAAGGTGAAGGTGGTACTAACTTGGCTGGGGACGCTGAGATCTTGAGAAAGCAGTAAGAACAGAAATGTCGCCTGTTCCTCAGGCCAAAGCTCCTGGACCCAGAGATAGGACCCTTTGTCAGAAAGATAAGGCTTCAATCAATCAGTGCAGTGCTCTGGGGGTGCAAGTCTGGTGCTCTGGGCTCCAGAGCAGAGCCAGACAATCAAGGGGCTCTCCCTAGGCTGTCGCTGCAAAAAACTGGGGCACCAGACTGTGTAAAAGCTCCCCTCTTCAGATCCTGAGGCTGTGGAGTGTGGCAGAGGGAGAGCTCCAAGATGGCACCCACCAAGGAAAGATGGGTGCCAAGAAAGGTCTAGAGAAAAAAAAATCTTGGAAAATGGTGCCCGCCAACAGCTCTATCTCTAAAAGTATCCCAACTGGCCCCTGGCCCTCAGGAGATGCTTTAAAATTAGCACATAAGGTGTGCCTGGAGGGCGCGATGGCTGGATAGAGTCCCACCACAGGTTCTGTGCTCCGCACTCTCCCCCACCAACCCCACTTGGATGTGGGCCTGCGCAAATAAAATCTTTTAAAAATAAAATTAGCAAATGAATCCCCTTCCCTTAAATTCTGGGTACTTTTCAAAGAGCTGCTTCTGCTCTGGGCCATGGGGCCCCTGAGTCTGCGGAGCCCATTTAAAGCCTGTTCCACTGGGCGCCTGGGTGGCTCAGTGGGTTAAGCCTCTGCCTTCAGCTCAGGTCATGATCTCAGGGTCCTAGGATTGAGCCCCGAGTGGGGCTCTCTGCTCAGTGGGGAGCCTGCTTCTCCGTCTCTCTCTGCCTGCCTCTCTGCCTGCTTGTGATCTTTGTCAAATAAATAAATAAAATCTTTTAAAAAATAAATAAAATAAAGCCTGTTCCTCAGCTCCCTTCTGGCCTTATATACTTGAGCCCGTTCATTTTCCAATCCAGATGTTTTGCGGGTTCCTTTCTCAGGTGCAAGTCTTAAAAGTTGGGGGTGCCTGATGTGGGGTACAAACTCTACACTCCTGAGGGAGAAACTTCCGGGTTGTGGGAGTCCTCCTGATCCGGAAGCGCTGTGGGAGGGAGGTTAAGGGTGAGATTGCGTCTTAGCCTCTCCTACCTGTTTCAATGTCTTCTTTTGGCCAAGTGAAGGAGTTGCTCAGCTTGTTTTCAGGTCTTTTTCAGAGGAAATTGCTCCGTTTGTAACTGCAGATTCCCTGAGTCCGTGGGCAGGAAAGGAGCTTGGGATCGTAACTAGGTCGCCATCTTGAACCGCTTCCCAGGACTTTTTCTAGGACTGGAAGCTTGTATCTTGATCCACTTCACCTTTTGCCCATTTGCCAGCCCCCAACGGCATAACTTGGCAACTACCAGTCTGTTTGGTATATCTATCTATGAGCTTGGGGTTTTATTTTATTATATATATACATATATGTATATATATACACACACATATATATACATATATATATATATATATATATATATTTTTTTTTTTTTTTTTAAGATTCTACACGTAAGAGTGATCATATGCATGTGAGACAGTTTTGGCCTTTCTCTGACTTATTTCACTTAGGACGATGCCCTCAAGGCCCATCTATTTTGTCACAAATGGCGAGATTTCCTTTTCGTGGCTAATTAATATTCCATTGTGTGTATATATGCACCACATTTCTTTATCAATTCACGCATGGGGCACTTGGGTTGTTTTCGGGTCTTAGCTGTTACAATACTGTAATGAACACGATGGGGAGGGGGCGGCAGGTGCGGCAGTGTTGCTTGATGCAGATATTTTTTCAAGTTAGTGTGTTTCCTTTGGATAAATACCCAGAAGCGGAATTGCTGGATCATAGGGTAGTTCTATTTTTAACATTCTAAGGAACCTCCATACTGTATTCCACAGCAACTGCACCAATTTACACTCCCACCAACAGCACACAAGTATGCCTCTTTCTCTGCCTCCTCACTAACAGTTGTTACTGCTTGTCTTTTTGATTCTAGCCGTTCAAGCCGTGTGAGGTGGTATCTGGTTGTTTTGATATGCATTTCTCTGATAATTAATGACATTGAGCACCTTTTCATGTACCTGTTGGCCATCTGTATGTCACTCTTGATCTTTCCGAGACAAATAAGGAATAACAGTTACTATGAATGTGTGGTAGAAAAAAAAAATACAGGTTTTAGGATGTAAGCAAGTTAAAAAATGACATTGGGAAATAAAAGGGAAAACGATCTGTGAGATTTAGACATTTGTCAATATGAGCGTGGGAGTTAGATAATCTTTGCTGAGGTTCATTTGTACTCATTCTACTGTACTGTGTAGTTAGAATTAAGAAAACAAAGTTGAGATGTGATTCTGGCATAGGGCTACACATTTGCAATACTGGGTTATGTTTCCCTGGTTCAAAATCTGGTCCTCAGTGATACACATTTAGAAACTCAATTTTGCAAGGTGGGTATCACATTCAGAGGTGACCAGTCTCTTAGAGAATGAATCACCCCAGTTAGGTTCTCCAGAGTCTAATGCATTATTAAGAATTCTGATTTATTAAATAATAATGAAGGCTCTTCTTCTCTACAATGTCACTAGATGAGAACAGAATCAGAATAAAAGGAGTTTTGAAAAACGTTTACCTAGGCCAGCTTTTCTCAAATAGGAGCAAATTGTTTGGCAGTATCTGGAGACATTGTGGGCATCACAGCTTGGGGGTAAAGGATGTCCTGTTGCCATTTAGTGGGCAGAGGGCAGGGATGCTGTTAAGCATCCTACAATGCACAGGGTAGCTCTCCACAGCAAGGAACTATCTGGCCCTAAATGTCAATTGTGTCAAGGTTGAGAAACGCTAATCAAGTCTGTGGAAAAGCCATAAGAACACTTCTCAAGTAGGACAGTGCTGATGCCCTAGAGATTATACCATTCTTCATTTATAGTGCCTTTTCCAGGCTCTCCAAAAATCATCTCCTTTCTCAAAGACCTTAAGCAGAATTGAGTTTTTCTCATTCATTACATCTCTTTATTGACTCCCTAAGATTATATCCTATTTATTTTAGTTCAGAGTCCTTAAATATTCTCAACCACATATTTACAGAGAATTTTTGGTCTATTTCTTTAAGTAGTTAATATTCATCCATTTTTTAAATACCAGTTTCATTTTAGAAACATCAATCTTGATTTATTTCAGCTTAATTTGCCTCTGTGCATATACATATATATGTGTATGAATATATAGAAAATATTTCAAAGAAGAAACAGAAATTTACTGGATCTATTGTAATAATATTTATGTTGAGCTAAATAAATTTTAGTCCTGGTTATTATCATACTATACTTGTAACACAAGAACTCTTTCAAAAAAGACTACATGCTCATAATTGTTAGGCTGGTCTGCATCCCACAACAATCATTTTATTAAATAAACACCCTTTAACTTTCTTCAAATATATCCTATCAGTTCTAAATAACTGCATACATGGGTATTTTGTTTTAGTTATGAAACTCAGTTTGAAGAACATTCCCCTTTCAGTGATTTATATTTAAAAGTAATAGAAAGCAAAAAGAAATTTTCACTTCAATAGTTTCTCAGAATACAATCTTTATTTTGATTAGATAAACATTATTTTGGGACTAAGTTGCAATTGATCCACAGTTCCACGGGTTCAGGCCACAGGTTAGGTCAGTCCACAGGTCATTATGGCAAAAATGGGCATGAGCCACAGGACATTGTCTTGCATCCATGTTTATACGATCAGCTCCAACAGAGGTCATTTCTGCTACAAGTCCTTTCCTCCGGGTCAGCCCCATGATCTGCAGGGCTAAGTGCAATAGGAAAATATGGGAATACTTTGTTAAAAAATTATTAACGTGGTACAGGAAATAATTACACCAAGCAGAGAATTAAACCAAGTGCAGGGTCTTTCTGAGATAAGCACCTTGTACTATAGCTTACACACCCATGAAACTAGTCCTGCCTTTCAGATTGTATTATTTACACTCAGTCTAGCAGTTGGGTTTAAAAGAAAAAAAAAAAAAAGGTTTTTTGTGATCACATTTAATTTTCTCAAAAAGCAAAGTACACACATGATCAGTTAAATTAAAGTCAAAGAATAAAAAAATTAAGCGATTTGCTGTAAGTTATCAACCAGCAACTATTAATTCAGAGAAGGGAGAAAAGGAAACATTGGTGGAGTGTGTCTCCTATGAATCTGTCACTGGAGATTTGAAAATGACGCTTCATGTGGATGGGAGGATGGATGAAATAGGTGAAGGGGATTAAGAGTACATGTCTCTTGATGAGTACCGAGGTATATATGGAACTGTTGATCATACTGTACACCCGAAATTAATATAACACTATGTTAACTATATTGGAATTAAAATAAAATTAAAAATAAACAAAAAATTAAAATGACGCTTGCTGAACTCCAGCTAAGAAGGTGAACTAGAAAGATTTTATGGGTTGGGGGCTCCCAGACACTGTAACATAATCTTGTTTTAAAATAATCTCAAAGACTACTTGGAAATGCTTTCCACCACTTAACTGGGGCCAGACCTCAGGCCTCTGGGAAGAGCCTGAGCCCGCGGGGGCAGGCTGGTCCCCGACCGGGAAGTCCACACCAGGAGCAACAAGAGGGGGATCTCAAAAGGATTGGACCAAGAAGTGTTTGGTGAGGGAGGGTGGAGCCTTGGGGGCGGAGCCGCATCTGGGGCGGGGCCCCGGAGAAGGGACGCAGCGGGTGGGACCCGAATGTGAGCAGGCCTTGTGAGGGCGGGGTCGAGACTGGGCGACCCCAAACGTTGGCTCCCGGCGGCCATGATGAGGCCCCGAGTTTCCGCGTCGCCTGGCTGCCGGTAGTTTTCCCGCTGCCACAGTCGCCGAGGTAGGTCTCTGTCGGGCTAGGTCTCTGGGTATCCTCGGTTCGTCTGCGGCTCTGGCTGCACCCGGGACCCGGCGGGGCCTGGTCGGGGCTGACGCTGAGGCCAGAGGCGAGTAGAGCAGGCTCAATCGCTGGAACTGCGGGCCGGATCCCGATCGCGACCCAGAGACGCTGGAGGCCAAGGGCTGGGCGGCGAGGCCAGGATCTTGGCGGCAAGCGCAGGCCTCGGGCCGAATCTCTTTTCTTCCCTGAACTTCCACATTGGTGTAACGCAGGGCGCTCGGGTCTGCGGTCTCTGAACCAGCTACGTTTATTTAGCTCTTTCCATTTTGCCCAGATTGTCCCGCCCTTTGACCCGATCGCCACTGCTTGAAGTAGCTCTGTACCCAGTTTAGTGAAAAACAGAACCCAGGGCGGTCGTAGCACTTGCGGGAGCGCGTTTCAGGGCCCTGGGAACCGGGGAAACCCGCACCTGCTCACGCACGTGCAAGCGCTTTGTTAGTCTGTTCGTGTTGTAAATGCTGTCCGAGTTCTGGTGGCGTCTGGAGGTCACTGCCTGATGGCGTCGGCCGAGCGGACTGTGGGGGGCATTCGAGGTTGCTGGATTAATTATAACTAACATTTGTATGCGTAGTGTTATAATTGATAATGAATTAACTCATTTAGTCTCGGGATTAACTCTGTCAGATTATATTCCCATTTTATAGATGGGGAAAGAGTCATAGAAAGATTACCTATCTTGTCTAAAGTCATGAGTAGTAGTAGGTGATGAAGCCAGAATTTGAAACTGGAGGGTCTGGCTCTAGAACCTACTCTGAAACTGTTAACACCATGGCATTGAATAGAGTTGCCCAGTAGAAACATCCAGACTATCCTCGGATTCTGCATAATTGAGTTTGAGTGACTTAAGATAATAGAAAGTTTGGCCAGAAAAATAATGTGGGACCATTGGAGACAATTTTGAAAGCCAAGTTAAGGTGTTTGGTATTCATGGGTGCTATATGTTTTCCTCCGTGGTGGATTAAAAATTTCTATATGGGCCAGCCATGTGAATTTTTATAAAGGAAAAGAGACACTGGCTTGACACGGTTAAAATGTGACCAAAGTATATATGGAGTTTAATTCATCTTTATCTTTCTGTCAGTTCTTCATAGTTTCAATTTTAGGAAGTTTCGATGGCATCACACCTGAAATAATAATTAGTTATCTTTCATTTCAGTGACTTTCATTCACATTAAATTTCATTTCAGTGACTTAGTGATTTTAAACCACTAGGTGAGTGGGATTCCTTCTACACCTGAAGCAGCAGCTACAGCTTGGCGATGGCCAAGATTTCTCCTCTGCTGGTGATGTGGGCAAGCTAACCACGTTTTTAATATTGACAATATACTTAACACTACTGAATTATACACTTGAAAATGGTTAGGTCAGTAAATTTTATGTTATATGTTTTTTATCACAATTTTTAAAAATCAAATAAAAATAAGTCAAAATGACTTAACAGTTGCATGTAGGTCACATTAGGCCTGAATATGTAATGTGTGTGTATAGGTATCCATTAAACGGTAAGCTTATGTGTATTAAAGCCCTCAGCTTCCACGCAGGATTGATTTTAGTGGGACATACAAGAGGCAAACAAAGTAGGAGCCGAAGTTTTAACTTCTTTTGTATAATTAGCATGGTGGCAGTGGGAATTCAAAGCAGGGGTAGCTTTAAGAGATTTTACACATAGATTGGGCAAGACAGGCATGGATGAAAAGAGGCAAGAAAAGGGAAGAAAAAACTGGTTTGAAGGTGGGAGATAGACACTTAATTTTAAATTTATTTTTTAAATTTATTTTTTATTTTTATTTTTTGAGAGGCAGAATGCGGGGAGGAGAGAAAGCGTCTTAAGCAGGTTCCAGGCCCAGCGCAGAGCTCTACATGGGGATGGATCTCAGGACCCCGAAATAATGATCTGAGCCAAAATCGAGAGTGAATCAGCTGAAAGAGTGAAGAGCCGAAATCAACCAACTGAGCCACCCAGGTGCCCCCACACTTAGTTTTAGATGTGTTGAGTTTTACTAGCTGGTGGCGTGTCTTGGTAGAAGGGTGTAGCAAGACCTTTGAATTCTGGCACTAATGCATGAGAATGATTGGGTCTAGAGATGCAGATTTCGGTTCTTCCACTTAGGAAATGTGGTTGAAACATGGGGAATGGGAGTTAGGGAAAGAATGCATGCGAAGAGAAAAGGAAAGGGAGATGGGAGGAGAAGGGGGAGGAGTGGAAGAACCCAGATCGCAAGTTTTCTCTGAAGAGAGAGAGGATTTGAACAGAGATGTGATGGTCACCAGAGCCATAATCCGATGATGCTGGGGAGACCTGTGTAGGTTGTAAAAGCCGGTGGAGACCCCTGAAAGTGAAGAAATGGGTCAAAGTCCACAAGGAGTCAGGAAGAATGGGAACAAAACACAGGGAGAGATAGACACTTTCTGGGGCTCATCAAAAGAAGAAAAGAGTGGTGAATATATAGAGATTTCTGGAAGAGGATGGTATTTAGCCTGAATAAAGAAAGAAAAGAAAAACTAAGATTTTGACAAGTTGGTCTTCTGGGGGAATAAATGCTTCATGAATAAAGATGATTTCTCTTTAATAGTATTTACCTGATTGGCTTGGCAGTGCACTTGAGAAAACCTTTCTTCGCTGAAAAATATTGCTGTTCATTTCATTGACTCTCTAGAAAAATTGTGTAACACCCACTGGCATTATGAAGTCGTTATTTGTTTTTGTTTGGGGTTTTTCTTGGGAAAGGGATCTGTTTGGTGTTTTGCTATTCGCCCCACTCTTTCAGTCCATTTCTCCTGCAAAATATCCAAGAACCGAAATAAGACATCCGACAGACAAATGATGGTGACAGGCTTTCATATGTACTAAGTTTCTATTTATTTCTTACAGTGTCGCAGCAGTCCCTTCAGTGTCGTTCATAAGCCCTCTCATTTTTCTCAGCAGTTCATCCTTTCTAGCCTGCCAGCCCAGCAGTCCTGAAGTCCTTTTCTTTTCCCTCTTTTCTCCCTGCATGACCTGTTCCATCTGCACGTCTTAGCCAGACAGCTCTAGGCTTTCTGTTTCTCTCTACTCTTCTAGCCCCCACTCCTGTTTTGTTCCCCCTCAGCGGTTGATTATATTTTGTACTAACAAATGACACTTGAAAATTTTTTTTCTGTTTAATTAAAAAGGAAAAAAGCCCACAACTTTCTTTTATTTTTTCTTAAAGATTTTATTTATTTATTTGACAGACAGAGATCACAAGTAGGCAGAGAGGCAGGCAGAGAGAGAGGAAGGGAAGCAGACTCCCTGCCGGGCTGAGCAGAGAGCCCAATAGTGGGCTCTATCCCAGGACCCTGAGATCAGGACCTGAGCTGAAGGCAGAGGCTTAACCCACTGAGCCACCAGGGCGCCGCCCACCCCCTCCCCCACAACTTTCTACATAGGGATCTTAGTCCAGCAGAAGTTTTTGACAGAACGACCTGCCTTGTGGCAAAATAGGTTATCAAGGTAGTTAGATTAGGGGCTGAGATAATGGAGTGATGCTGTTCCCTCAGCTTTTGCCATGCTGCCTTAGCCAGGGTAAAGGCAAGAAAATGTCTATGCTCAGAATGTGTTGTGCCCTGCACATGTTTGTGTAACCTGTGTTGTGAAAAGTATGTCCTGTTTATAAGCCACTTGGTCTTTCTTTTTTCATTTTTTCAGGATCATCTATCCTTTGGTGCAGGCAAAACAAGTAGTAGACTAGTGCTTTACTAAAAAAGATAAATAACAAAGCATAGAACAGCAAAGATGAAGGACAAGCTGATTTTTAAAACTTTCACATAGTTGGTAGTCAGAAGTGAATAAAATAAATTATTCATTAATTCAACAAATAATTATTAGTTATCTCTTATGTGCTAGATATATACTCAGTGTGCCATGGCTTGGGAAAGCAGACATATCCCTTACTAAAATTAAGAAAATAGGACATTCTTATAGACTAATTTAGCAAAAAATTTCTATTCCTTCATCTCATGTAAGTATGTTAAAATTACATGTGTGTGTTCATGAATTATTTAAGCCAGGATCATGAGCAAGAATAGCTGAAGTTAATAATAATTCGTAACCTTTGTAAGCAGTTTGTTAAGAATTGATCTCTTACAGATTAAATGCATAAATCTGTGAATAGAAGGTAATTTCTCTATAATCGTAAGCCCTAATCCTATGAATTTAATAGGATTTTAATAGTCAATCTCAGAGCATCTAAAAAAGAGAATATGTAAAGACCCTCCAAAGAAGCAGGAGAGCACAGCAGTGAAAAGTAGGGGCTCTGATGTCAGGCTTCCTGGCTCGAATCCCAGCTTTCCAATGCAAAACTAAATATTTAGATTTACTGAGTATTTAGTATTTAGACTTACTGAGGAAATTACTAAAATGTAGGCTTGAAACTAATCTTATTTAGAATTTCGCAAAGACATTTCCAAGATTAACTTTTTAAGATTATTGTTACATATTTTTTTAGAGTAACCCTAACACCGCAACTGGTCAATAGACTGTTACTGAGAGTGTCAGTAGAAATTGTGTGGAACTTATTCACAGAGAAGACCACAAGAGTGGTAATACCTGTCCCTAGTGTCTGAGGATTTTTCTATTTAATGTGTACGGCTAACTGATTTATAATCGGTTATATATAATCAGGAGGGGAAGGGAATCCTTCCTGAGGGATACACATCAGAAACAGGCTGGTTCCTCTTCGCTAAGCAGGCACTTCTGGTAAGGATAGTTTACTGACCTTTTTTTGTATTATTAAAAATTAATAACGAGTGGTATTTTAACATTTACCTTTAAAATTATGTATGAACATTTAAAAGATTTGTCTCAGAGAGAGGAATTCCCAGACTTCAAAATCTCCCATCGATAAGCTGCACTTTTAATTCACCAATGTTTTACTTGTTGGTTCATTTTAAAAGGAGAGTTGTTGATCTAAAAATTGGGCATCACTTTCTCAGAAACACTCTCATAGCACAAGGAATTCGATCTGGGTGTGCATATAGCTAAATGGTGATCACAGTGTAAATGCTCAATAAATGTTACCACTTCTTGTTACCAAATCATTATGGTGACATCATTTTCTTCCCATTTTAAAAAATCAGCTATAATGAGTAAGACCAATTCTTTGATTCCTTTGCTACAGTTGACAGGTAAACTATTAACAATTTTTGATCTTCTGAGCTAAAGTAGTTAATTAGTATATATTCTCCTTCTTTCTGAAAAGAATTTGGGGCAGTCCACAAAAAGAAAAAGCTTGTTACCCTACTGAATAAATTAGTATTGACATACTAAAGTTTCCTAAAATGCATAACAAGCATAAGTGTGAGTCAGTTTCTTAATGTTATTTATCAGGGAAAATTAGCAAGTGAAAAAAATAGTCTCAGTAGAAAACAGTTGTATGTTGGATAATTCATCTGAAAACAGTTTTGTTTCAAATTTTTCAGGAACGAATATTCTAGAAATTAATGAGATTAATCTTTACTAATAAAGGAAGAATGGCATTGAAGGAGATTTCCAGCAACAAGTGCTTTGAAGGGTTGCAGAAAGTTTTTGAACATGACAGGTAACTACCAAGAGGATAAAATTTTAGGTATCTCTCGTTCTGCTTCCATCTATTTGATTTCTTAAATAGACCCATGGAAGATAATTGTTACACACATTACCATTTACATGGAAAAATACCTGTGGTTTTTATCAAAATTACCTCATTGTGATATTAATGATTATAGTAAGATATTAATGGCAAAGAACAAATTAAAGATATGGTACATTTCAGTCCCCATGAACAAACATGTGATATAAGATCTTTAGGACTTATTTTTTTATAAAACCTTGTTATTTCACACATCTCTTTATAAACAAAAGCAATTTTTCTTTTAGTAATATTGGTGCTACATTGAGGGTATTACATTTGTTCTTTTAATTTATCTCCCCTCCACCCCCAAATGATATATGCTATGCACAGCAAAGACCCAGGTTGGTTAATAGATCAGTATGCTAATTTGGCCCCATTTTTTCTTTAAGGGCCAAGGTATATTCCTTAAATGTTGATGGAATTACTGATTTTGGACATTAAATCACTTATTTTATGTTTCTGTCTTTAACCAGTGAGAGGCATTGATTTTTTTTTTGTCGTGGTTGTTAAAATTACAGTGTTGAACTGAGCTGCAAAATGAAATTTGGTATCTACTTACCACCAAAGGCAGAAACTGAAAAATGCCCTGCACTGTATTGGCTGTCTGGTAAGTGTTACACATTTGAGTTTTAGGAAGGAGTTCCTTTTTCTTTTTAACGGCCTTATCTTACTCTTTTATCTTGACTTACTGGTATGCTTGCTGAGCCATTTGTAAAAGACGTTTAAGAGCCACTTAGAGTCTACTCTTACTTTATGCTGAGAATAATTTCAGACCTACTGATTTATATTTATTTCACTTCTTTTAAAATTAAACCAAGTAATTTAATAGAGAATGGAAAACTCTGGACTCAATAGCGAGAGCTTCAAAAAGTTAATTTGTACTTACCTAAGAATTTCTGAAGTTTGTAGAGATTTTACCACTCGAATAGAACAATATTAGGTAAAACCAGAATACCCATGATATGCTAATTAGAAACTATAGACAAGTAAGTTCTTATAGTCTTCTCTAGAATGTTTTAATTGAATTTTAATTCAATCTTCTCTGGTAACAGGAAAATCACAGAAGAACACTAAAGCTTCTTAATCAGTGGTGAATATTAAAGACTGTAGAATGAAATATGAGAGAGTTAGGTTTTGCCACCAGTAGTTTGAAGCTATCTGCTAATTTTTTCACAAAACATTTTTGGCATTTTATCTTTAGAAGCAAACATAAGGCGAGACTTGATAGATACCGAATTATGTCATAGAGTGCTATTTTTGTTACTTTAAAATTGCTTATAGCTTGGATTTTAATAAATCCTCTCTTACGTGTGCTTTACCAAGGAAAAGCCCCAAATACCAGTCATTTAAAATGAGAATAAACATTTCATTTTAAAAGGTAAAAATTTTTTAAAAATAAAAAATAAAAAGAAATAAAAGGTAAAAATTGAGTGTCTATCTGATTGTAACCAACAAACCACTTCTGTGATTGAAAAAAGCAAACTGGTTTTGCAGGAGGAGCATTGGGTATTGCCAAAAGCAACAAGAACAAAAGTGCATGCTTGTTTTAGAAACAGTATTGTGTAACTGATGGTGGCCTTCGAAGTCATGTAATCTGTAGAATAGGTAACTGTTTCTCAGGCCCCGAGAACTTATGTATTGACCAGTATCACGTGACAGAGTGAACAAGTTTTCTGACTTACAGCCCAGCGCTGTATTTAATCTTCCCGCTGTTCTTTTTGCATGTGGTTCCTGGTGACAGCTGCTGGAGTCCTTTCTCCTGGCTCTAAGTATAATAACCTAGATCAGAAGTACCAGGATATTGTGTAAGAGGTACTAGAGTAATAAGACCTGTCATTTGAGCTTTGTGAGTAAAAAACAGAATTTGTGTTTGTTTATATCACATGACAGGACAATTTCCATAGTGAGATTCTGAAGAACATAGACCTTGGAACCTAAGGCTTGATTTTCTTAAAAAAAAAAAAAAAAAATTAAGGTTGTCAGACTATACACTTGAGAAATAATGGCAAAAGAATTTCAGGATATTAGTTTCCTGATAAGGTGAAGGAAAACAATGGCAGACTGACATCAATTGTTATATTTCTAAAATTACTAAGGTAACTGAATGAAAGCTTCCAAACTGAAATTCTAAAAGATGGTCATGATGGCATGGTTTGCATCTCCCAAGTCAAGGTGACCATCAGAACAGCTCTTCATTAGCCATATACCCAAGAGAATTGAAAATATGTGTCCATTTAAAAACTCATACAAAATGTCCATATATTACGTTATACATTATTTAAAATAGCAAAAAAGTGGAAACAAACCTGTCTGTCAACTAACTAAATAAGTAACATGTGGTATAGCCACACAGTGGAATTACTGCTCAACAACAAAAAGTAATGAAGTCCGCACAGATGCGGCATACATCAGGGGTGAACCTTGAAACCATGCTAGGTGAAAGAAGCCATCCACAAGAGATGACATAGTGTTAAGTCCCATATATGTGAAATGTCCAGAACAAACATCCATAAAGACTGATTACCTAGGGCTGAGGAGGCAGGGATTAGGAGAAAATAGGAAGTGACAGCTGATGGGTATGGGTTTTCTTTTTGGGGTGATAGAAATATTCTAAAATTAGATAGCGGTAGTGTTCCATAATTGTCAGTATTCCAACAGTCATGCAGCTGTACACTTCACATGGGTGAATACTATGGCTTCTGAATTCTACCTCAGTAAAGCTGTTAGCCAAAAAATCCCCAAAGCTCTTCATATAAAGTAAGCTTAGTTGATAAAGATTAGTATACTAATACTAATATTAATTAGTAACCCTCTTTATATTCTTGAGAGTAATTCTGCTAGTAGAATTATCTTTATTTCTATGAGTCTGCAGTTCATTTCCTAATACCTTCATCAAAGAATTTGTGTTTGACTAGGAAAAAAAGACGAATTTTTCTCTGGTTGCTAAACATTTACATTTCCCAAGTGTAAGACACTGTGCACTGGGTCTGAGACATGACTCAAGGCTTTTTACATTATCACATTTAGTCCTCAACAGCCATGCTATGAGATAATCATAACAATATTATCCCCATTTTACAAATGAAAGAACTGAGGCTCAGAATATTCAAGTTACCTGCCTGATTTTGGTTAGCCAGTAAGTGAGTAACATCTCTAGAACCAGATCCTGTCTGAAATCCAAAACCCATTCTTGTTACCCTATTACCTTGCCTCTGAATACATTTACACTGTCATCAAGACCACTGCCCTTTTATCAGTATTTGGGGTAGTTCTCCATCATGATGAGGCATCTGTATCTCTGGAATATGTACTAGGAAGGAACATGGTGGACAACCAAGGACTTTGTTCTCCTGCCAGGACTCGTGAAAGTATGTGCATCCTAACGTTAAACGTGAACACGTCATCCAATGATACTTGTAACTTTGTATCTTGTAATCATGTATTAATTTAGTCTTCACTAGCAACCATTTCATCAGCCCCTGGCTGGCCGCTAGGGGATAAATGGAAACTATAAAAGTGTCTCATAGTTCATTCATACTGCATTGTGCATACTAGTAAGCTTTGATGTCACTAATTATCAGATGTAGGGGGATATTTAGCATTGGCCACTGGAAAAAGGGTGTTGGGTTATGTGGTACTTAGCTCATCCATCTATTGCCGGTTTATTCTTGGCCCTTCTGTAATGAGAGGATTCAGTCATCTCTTCCATCACTTGAATGAAGAGGCTATACCTAGGGAAAAGGGCAGAAACAGCTGGAAAATTTAAGGAAGGTATGTGGTGACCATTTCTCCTTAAAACAGCAAGGAATACAGAGATGATCAGGCTGAATTTTGTTGCTGAGGACTACCCATACATAAAAAAATAAAAATTGAGTCATTTACAGTATTATGATGACTTATCATGAATATTTATGTTTCGATGCAGGAATAGTGACATGTTTCATTAGCATGTCTGACAACGCTCCACTGGGGTTGAGAGCACATTGGCTTCCACACCATATTGCCATTCCACAGTTTGAAAATTTCTGAATTCCCAAATATCTCTGGTCCTAAGGATTTCGATAATTGAAACTTTAGTGAGTAACTTTGAAAGGACTGCTGTGGGAGCATTTAACGTAAGACAGTTTTCTTAGATTAATATTATTGTAAATTTTATGAGAAAGGGAACTTTATTGTCTCCTTTAGAATTATTTTTTTTAAAAAGTGTTTTAATAATACTAAATGAGCTTCTTTTCCTGCATTATAAAAGGGTTACATCTTATAAACCATTCACAGGGTAGCATGAGATAACACTATTTCTGATCCTCAGGTTTGACTTGCACAGAACAAAATTTTATATCAAAGGCTGGTTATCAGCAAGCTGCCTCCGAACATGGCCTCATCATCATTGCTCCAGATACCAGTCCTCGTAAGTGTTCTCAGTCCAGAGATCCTTTGTAGAAATACAAATCTTTCAGACTAAGTCGTAAGTGGTATGATGTAATATTACCTTATATTTTATTTATTTTATTTTTTGGCTACTAACTCTATTAATCTTTCAGATGATATCAGTACTCTAAAATACCATGCTCTATATTTTCCTCACTGTGAATCTTGCTCATGACCTCACTCTCATGAGAGTTTTTTGCTATTCCCATTTTATAGATTAAGACACTGCAAAACAGAGACTGAGCAACTTAGTTAATATATCATATTGGCACTAGTGCCAAAATGCATAAAAATATTTCTATTCCATAGGTTAACTCTCTTGTCACATAAAAATTATGGTCTTTTCTCATCTGCTCATCAGACAGTTTAATGTGTATTGGTTTTAATATAAATAACTAGCATGCTTACCTTAGAGAGATGAAACTATCAAATATTTGAGAACTCAGTCCATTAGAGAGTTAAAACTTACATTGTGACCCTAGAAGTCTCAGGAAATAGAATTTATTAAATGGGAGCTAAAATTATCTGGAAGATAAGTGGCTGGCCTTGGGAAGTAGTGCATTTCCTTCACAGGACATATACACCAACGTAAGACTTATCTCATTAGAAATGTAATAAAAAATTTAATTCTGAATAGCATCAGAATATTAAATGCCTAGGAATAAACTTGTAAAATGCGAAGATTTATTTTTTTAAAGAAATATAAAATTTGCTAACAATCCTAAACAAAGACTTTAATGAATGGGAAAATGCCATGTTCGTGGATGAGTGTACTGAATATCATGAAGAGGTCATTTTCCTGAAACTACATATTATGTGATTCTATTAATAGTCCCAGTAGTTGGCTTTTTAACCACCTGCAAGCATATAAAATAAAACCTAGGGGTGCCTGGGTGGCTCAGTGGGTTAAAGCCTCTGCATTCGGCTCAGGTCATGATCCCAGAGTCCTGGGATTGAGCCCCGCATCGGGCTCTCTGCTCAGCAGGGAGCCTGCTTCCCTTCCTCTCTCTCTGCCTCTCTCTCTGCCTGTCTCTCTGCCTACTTGTGATCTCTGTCTGTCAAATAAATAAATAAAATTTTTAAAAAAATTAAAAAAAAAATAAAACCTACTAAATTTTTAAAGATTATAAGAAAATCCCACTGAGGGATGAATAAATAGGGGAAATAAGATGGAATGATTCCAAAGTTCATAGGAAGTGTTTTCAATGCAAGATAGTGATCTGAGCACAAGCATTTTTCTCCCTTCCCTTCTAAGAGAAAAGAAGTTTTGGTAATAGTGGAGGGTCCTCAGGGAAGGAATCTCAACACGTTTTAGAAGAATAGAGAGAGGGTGTAATCCTTAGACAGGTAAACGTGAAGAACCAAATATTCAGAATACATAGGAGAGCACTTCATCTGCAAAGAAAGCCAGTGTGCCTGACCTTAGTAAAGTGAATTCTCCGGCCTAGAAGGATATTTCCTCTCCCACCTCATTGGCTAGAACTAGTCACGTGGCCCCATTCAGGGACAAGAGGGCCAGGGCATATGTGCCCCAAAAGGCAGAGAACTGCAATATTTGGTGAACAGCTCAAATACAAATGCACTGTCAGATTCATTTAAAGGAGTGTTACTAAACATGGAGTAGATGAGACCACGGGATATGTCCTTGCTAGGGGGCTGCAATATTAAAGGAGAAGATGAGAGCTGGGACTTCGGCACCGGTGCTGGATTTTATGTGGATGCCACTGAAGATCCTTGGAAAACTAACTACAGAATGTACTCTTATGTAACTGAGGAGGTAATTTCATTGTATTTATTAATCGACGATTGCCAGTAGTTTGGTGTGGGACACAAAGTCCCTCTAGTCCTGAGAATTTTAAACCAGGGTATGGAACTGTTGAATCTATTTGGTACAGATTTATTGATTATCTTAGTGAACATTCCAAAGTTTCCTTGTAGGTAATCTTATTTACTACGGTTTAAATTAATATTAAGTACAATTTTAAAGAGGGTAATAATTATATTGATACCTATGTATACTACCCAGAGTATACATAGAAAACAATATATGAAAAAACTCTAGCAGCTGGTTTATTCAGATGTATTTTATACTGATTAACTAAGGCTTTCTTAGAAAGGGTAAGGGTAAATATTGCTTCTGTTAATAATATTTTTGTGCAGTTTATTTTTCTAAGTTTTATTATTTTAATTATTAATATGTATACCATAAAAACCCAGAAACAATAATATAAAATTTTAATCACCAATTATTCCATGCCCCAAATAATAACTATGTCCTGGTATATTCTAGGCTTTTTTTGTATGACCAGTTTTCATACAGTTGTAAAAATTTTTTCATCTTGTTCTTTTTTTTAGTTGAATAAAATAGATAATTTTGAGTACTCTATTTGTAACATAGCCGTAATAATTGCATAATATTCTGTCATATGTCATATTTAGTTTTCCCTAATGTAGGATGTTTACATATTTATATATATTTCTTATCACAATACATTTTACTACAGTGACTGTATGTATAATTCTTTCTCCCTAAAGACTTTTCCCTTAGAGTAGATGCCAGGAAGTGAAATTACTAGACCAAAAGTTAAGACACTTTTAAAGGCTCTTTCTGCATCATCTTTAATTTGCTTTCTGAGGATTCCTTGTTTCCAGTGATACGTTAATAATCCTTCTCTACCTGAGATTTTTTTTTCATCTTTATTAGCTTGTAGTATTTTGGGACTGTGATTTGGAAGTGTTAATTGTGTAATTATTTTATATATTATTTTATATATTATATATATATATTATATGTGTAATATATTTTATATAATTATTTTATAAATTATTTTATATAATTATTTTATAAATTATATGTAATTATTTTATATAAAAGTCTAAACTTGTTTCTTTCATCTTTTGTCACACTATTAAATTCTCTCCAGCTTCCCCGGCTCATAAATGCCAATTTTCCAGTGGACCCCCAAAGGATGTCTATTTTTGGCCACTCCATGGGAGGCCATGGAGCTCTGATTTGTGCTTTGAAGAATCCTGGAAAGTACAAAGTAAGATTACCGAAGCTTTCAGTGGCCAAGTATTTCTCTTGGGTAATACAAGTCAGGAACTTTCAAAGAATGAAATTAAGATATTATTTTATGGGACTAAACGTTCCTAGTGTGGGGAGTTTCATGGGGCTGTAAGGGAAAAGTATAAAATTTGACCACACAATTCTATGCTCCAGAATCAGAAGTATAGGAATTCTATCACAGTTGGTCTACTAGAAATATGATAAAACAATTTTTGTTGCTTCTATTCAAACTGTAGTCTTCTAGGCTCCCCCCCCTCCCCCGCATAAAGTTGACTTTGATTTTCTGAGGTAGAAGAAGATATTCATGATTTGTAACAGTTTAAGTATTCTCTCTTCTCATTGCCTCTGATGAAAATTGGATTGCAGCTTAACTGAAGAATAACACTCAGTCTTCCATTCATTTATTTTAAACTGTGTCGCTTTACTTTCTGTTGTTTAAAGAAGCCAAGTTGGAATAACCACCATATGTAAAATGTCCTCCTGGTCAGGGCTGCCTACAGTCATGTTGAAAAAGGAAACGATGAAATAGTGATAATCTCAGGATTGCGTCTGTCTTTAACATCCCAGGACTATCAGATAGCTCAAGATTTCTTTAATGCATTTCCTTCTCTTAGAAAGAACGTCTTAGCCATTTCAGGTGTGTCCTTAAGAAATGACAGTATTTCTTATAGCAGTTTCTTATTGTGGCACCAGATTTTTTTTTCTTAGTAGGCATTATTATAAAGTTGAGCTAATTCATGTCTTGACAGTAGGTTTTTAAATTAAGGCCTTATTTTCTATTTTTTTGTACATAAGGCAATTAGTTTATTACATCCAAGGGAGAAAGTCAGATTCGGTTGTTTTTTTGTCCTTTAAAAAAGGTAGTAGACATTGATAAACACATACTTTGATAAGCGCTCTGAAACTGAACGGTTCCATCTCTGACACTTATCCAGTGAAAAACAGGACTGCATAGAACACAAACATTTAAGGGCTTTGCTCAGTGCTTTCTTGGCCCTGCTTAAGAGAAATAATGTGTGTCTGATTTAATAACATGTTCACAAAGGTGGTTATAAATGGTTCTGTAGTACTACTCATTAATTTTAGGTGGAAAAAGTGAATAGAAAAAAATACAAACTTGTGTTTGTGTCTTATTTAATAAAAATGTAAGGTATTGCTTTACAGTCTGTTGGCACATATGGTTAATTAGCTCTTTTAACGGAACACACACAAGCTGTATACGGAGAGGCGTGCAATCTGAGTGCTTCATCTAGCCAACAGAAAATTGTTCACAAGGAAGTTTTCATGGCAAGTCAGAGTTTATAAGCAAGTTGCAGATGAACTTGTGAGTTTTTAAGTAAGTTGCAAATGTTCATTTTTTTTTTTTTTTGCAAAATATAACTTGTTTTTAAATTTCCTTTCGTTTTGAAGTCTGTGTCGGCATTTGCTCCCATTTGCAACCCAGTGCTCTGTCCTTGGGGCAAAAAAGCCTTTAGTGGATATTTGGGAACAGATCAAAGTAAATGGAAGGTAGGTACTGGGGTGGCTGTCTTCATACTCATTCTTAGGTTTTCAAACCTGTGAAAAAGCTACACACCACAGACATTATATTCCTAACTCACTGAAAGATCCAGAGTTAAAATAATTAACAAAAGCATATACGTAGAACGATATCAACAACAAAAAAGCCCTATTTTCTAGTTGTATTGAATTGTGGTGGATGTTCTGAAACTACATTCTTTTTTCTGTGAGTGATTAATGTTTATGTTTGTTTCTAAATTAACATTACCAGAAAATACCACATTTTATTGCTGACTTTAGAATTCGCCTCTTATTAACCAAGTACACAGGAAGCATGAGTCCTAGCCTTTTAATTATTTCACATATCTCTTTCAAAATCCAGCATGTCTCAGATTTGGATTTTAAATTCCAGGCTTTAAAGTCTTTAAAAATAGATACTGTGTGATGTATATTTATGTGCACATCCCCAATAGCAAGATTGCTTTTTCAAGCAGGGGACCAAATGCTTCAAAATGAAAATTTTAAAAATGGCTCTTTCTCGAGACCTGTGTGACTTTTGTGCGGAAATAAGCTATTTGCAAACGTTGCCAAGAGTTTGAATATTTTGCAAATCCATTCATTCATCATGTGCATGTTAACAAGTAGAAAATACTTGAGTGGAGGGAAGAAAAAAGCTTTTTTGTCCTGCTGTTGTGTGTTCAGGGTCATTCACACATGGATCCTAATTTTATTTAAGATGGGTCATTGAAATTCTAACAAATTGGAGAGTTAATCTTGAGTCACCAGACTAGAATTCTATTTCGTTTAGGCTTAGATTTGTATTACAGTGGAAGAATGCAGGAAGTGATTACTGTTAGGTACTTTGTGAGCTGACAGTGCATGCACTTGGGTGTTTGGGGTCCTGGCTACTGTGCAGAGCCTGTGTAGAGTTTGCGATCTTAGGTCACGAAGGTGATAACCTTTCTCATCCACGTGGAGCTTAGGTTCTGATGGGAGTTGGGTAAAAGACCAACTGGTGGGGTCATTGGGTGGCTCAGTCAAGCGTCCGACTTGTGATTTCAGCTCAGGTCATGATCTCATGGATTGTGGGTGGAGCCCTGCATTGGCTTCCCCACTCGGCAAGTGGTATTCTTGGGATTCTCTCTGTCCCTCCGCTTGAACTTTCTTCTCTCACTCTCTCTGTCTGTCAAATAATAAATAAATCTTAAAAAAAAAAAAAAAAAAAGAAAGGAAAAGATGAACTGGTTAGAAGTAAGGAGGGGAGAGGTAGAGGCACAGGTAACCTATAAAGGAATCTAATTATATAATTTTTCTCTAAGGGACAGTCGATTTTACCATCTTAATTATGTTGCATTTAGGCTATCATTTAATTTACTGTTAGAATAAGGAGGCCATGCAGAAGTATGAAATCACGGAACTTAGCACTAGTTGGACTTTATAGATCCCCTTCCATTGTCCCCTTATAAGATTAAAGAAAGCAAGTCTTAAAAAACAGAATACTTTAGAAGGGAAATCTGGGGTTTTGTCTGTCTTATTTGGTGCATAGAAGTTATGGCTACTGAATATATATTAATAATCAAGAATACTTAAAGGTGGATGGTAAAATATACATTTGTATCTAGTGGCAGCTCTTCAGATAACAAATGTTGAGGGGCTGTTTATATGATTCAGATTATTTAAATTAAATCTTCCTGGAAGCTCACCGGGATAGGAGACATTTGGTGCTGTTCAACAGACCACAGAAAAGAAGGCTGAATGTATTTAAGTCTGGAATTAGAGCCAAAAAGAAGAGGCAACAAAATAGACTATTTGAAATAGAAAATATCTGGAAATAGAAAAAGATATAAATAAGTTAGAAGAAATAGTCAATTTGTGGAGGGATTTATAAAGATAAAAAATTACAATTTTGTTTTTGTTCTTTTTGGAGTGGAGAGGTGATTAAGAACCTCAAAGGTTTAGAAGAAAAAAGTCTCTTCTATGAAGAGTGCTGAGATACAGAATTCTTGCCACTGGCCCAGGACTGCTTAGAAGTAAAGAAGGCTATAAGTGGGGCATAGATTTCTGAAGACCTTATAAATAAAAACCAGGCAAGACAACAAGAAAGCATTTTTCGGATTTAATCATCCTTAGAGCTTAAATAACGTTAAATTTCTATTTGGTTTTACTGCAGTCTGTTTTGAAGAACATCTTTCTGGGCACTTTCAAATTTATTTTTCAGTATTTTTCTTTTTCTAGGCTTATGATGCTACCCACCTTGTGAAGTCCTACCCAAGTTCTCAGCTGGACATACTGATTGATCAAGGGAAAGATGACCAGTTCCTTACAGATGGACAGTTACTACCTGATAACTTCATAGCTGCCTGTACCGAAAAGAAAGTCCCTGTTGTTTTTAGACTACAAGAGGCAAGTACTAGGAAACCTCAGCTTGTTCTAAGTAACTAAGTATAAGGCAGAATTCCAGGGGTGCCTGGGTGGCTCAGTCAGTTAAGCATCTGACTCTGGATTTCAGCTCAGGTCATGATCTCAGGGTTGTGACATCGAGCCCTATGTCTGGCTCATGCTCAGCTCCAAGTCTGCTTGAGATTCTCCCTCTCCTTTGCACCCCCCTCCCCGCACTCACTCACTCTTTTTCTAAATAAATAAATAAATAAGCAAGATTCCATAATACTTTATATTTCAGAATTTGAAAAGCTACCTCTAGTAAGGAATTTTTTAATTATAACAAGACACTTAAAGTGAAAGCCTTCTTACTAACTTAGCATCACATCCCACAGAAAGAGGAACGCTTTCAGAAGTGAAAAGTATTTATAATTTTTTTTGTCCCACCATAGAACCAGTGAAGAACAAGAAGCTTCATGCATGAATACGACTTCAAGTGCAGCTTTACTGGCTGTGTCTGTCTTGACACAGAGCTGTTTACACAGTAAATAGCAAGTAGAAGCTTCTACCTTAATTACTCTCCACTTCATATACACATCTTAGCCTCAGGAGCTGTGAACTGTTTGTCTCACGAACACTTAGGCACTTTATACTGTTTGAGTTAGTTGCTAATCTATCCATTGTGCTGCTTGGCATTTTTTGTGGTTTAAGAATAATTACTGAATTTCAATTGGTTTGCAAGTTTTCTTTGACTAAAAGACTCCTGACTCTCTACTACTTACGTACCTCAATGCTAAATCGTTAAATTAAAGAAATTCTACTTCTAGTTTTTTAAAATTCCTTATTCACAAGCTTTGGAATATAATATAAACAAAATATTTCAGGATGAAAAAGTGAACACTGTAAATTACAAATGATTATGATTTTAAAAAACATTCATGTTCTAGGGTACTGTGTCAGGCACATTGATCTAAAATGTATAATTATGATGATATATGTCCAGCTAAATCTAGGTCAGTGTGTAGTGTGGTACATTTCAGTTTACAAAACGTTTTCACAGCATTAGCTCATTTTATCTTTATGGGACCAAATGAGCGACCATTGCTGTCCTGTCTATCTGGGGGGTTTTTTTGTTTGTTTGTTTTCAACATTTTTATTGTGTCAGAATTCTATAAATAAAATTTACCACCTTAGCTTTTTTTTTAAAAAGGGTTTTTTGTATTTATTTGGGGGTGGGGAAAGAGCACGAGCAGGGGAGGGATAAGAGGAGAGGGACAGGGAAAATCCTCAGACTCCCCTCTGAGCACAGAGCCCCACAGGGCTCCATCCCAGGATCCTGAAATCATGACCTGAGCAGAAATCAAGAGTTAGTTGCTTAACTAACTGAGCCCCCCAGGTGCCCCTCTGTCTTAACTATTTTTAAATGTACACATCTGTGCTACTAAATATATTCATAACGTTTAGCTATCACCACCATCCATCTTCATAACTTTTTATTTTGTAAAATTGAAACTTTATACCTGTAAACACTAATTTCTATTTCTTCTTCCCTGCCTCCAACCTTTGGCAACCATCATTCCACTTTCTCTGTAAATCTGACTACTCTAAGTATCTCATATAAGTGGAATGATACAGTTGTTTTCATAATTTTCTTTTTAGGGGCATTGTTAGTGTATAAAAATGTGGCTGATTTTTGTGTGCTGCTTTTGTACCTTACTACTTTGGAATCCTCAGGGTTTCTGCATATAAGATTATATCACCTATGAACAGAGATGATTTTATATGTTTCCAGATTGTATGCCTTTTATGTCTTTTTCTTGCCCCCCTGTTCTAGCTAGGACTTCTAGTACTATGTTGAACAGAAGTAGCAAAAGTGGCACCTTGTCTTGTTCCTGATCTTAGAGGAAAAGCTTTCAGTGTTTCCCCATTAAGTTTGCCATAGGTTTGCATATATGCTCCTGTCTGTGTATTTTATAGGCTCAGAAAAGTATTAATGTATCTAAGGTCTCACAGCTAATTTACAGTAGAACCAGAATTGGAAGCAAGATCATTTGAATGGAAATGCACGTCCTCCTGTGATCAGTCTAACCATTCCCAAGCAAGGTGAAGCAGTGTTCCCGAGGAGCATGGAATTAGCTAACACAAGGACAATTCATGTATAACCTGCGATCTAACTTATACAACAAATCACAGCAGTCTCTCTGTTTTTTTTTAATTCCCCTAATATTTTGATCAGGTAAATAATATACATATTATATATAATAATATATAAGGTTATGTATATAATATTATATATAATTATATATTATATATAAGATTTTATATATATAATAAAATAATAAAATTTAATTCCCCTAATATTTTGATCATGTAAATAACATACATATATATGATATATTTATTTACAAATATATTTACATGTATATATAATATTTACATGTATATGTTTGTGTATATATAGATCATGTGGGAAAATATGTCAAAAACCAATATATTAAATTTATCTTGTTTTCTCTGAGTGTCCATCTTTAAAGTAATAGTATTTTCTTAGGTTAATATAAACACCAGAATTACATGTTTTTAGTCAATAACCAACTGAGAAATCCAAATACAAATTTGATGATGAAGTAGTGTGTTTAACTACATTAACGATAGCTATAAGTAATGTAATAAACCGTGTTTCTTTCCGAATCGTCTCTTGGCACCAGCAGCGTTGGATGCCTCTTCTTCCCCTGAGGCGGTGCCAGGAAATTCTGTTGTTACTACCAACAATCAAGTTTTAGCCTGCCAGCAAAGACAAAAAGATCTCTGGAGTTTGTTATAAAATCAGCATTGAAATAAAATACTGATGAAATTCTTAGAGGGGAACAAAATAAATCAACTTATTTATATCTGAAATGCTTATATCCTAAGCAACTAAAAAAACACAGTTGGGTGTATTTAATGAGTCAAGACAAAACATTCAGTTCTAAAAAAAAAAAAAAAAAAAAGTGGGAAAGTATTGAAATTACCAGCCACAATCTTTAGCTCAGACAGAATTTGTTGTTTACTTTCCTTCCGGCAAGTACAGGTTAAAAGCAAACCACACAGTCCGAAGTTGTAATTGAATGAGCAACTGAGTAGACATGACTGGGCATGGCTCCGGAGAAGCTGCCTTAAAGTTTTTCAGACCAACTTTGACTGACTTCAGATGACCTCAGGTCTCAGAGTCGTATCTGCCATATCATTGGCGTATAAATACAATAGAACTGTTTTTCCTTATGAAATGAGAGCAGTGGGGGCGCCTGGTGGCTCAGTGGGTTAAAGCCTCTGCCTTCGGCTCAGGTCATGATCCCAGGGTCCTGGGATCGAGCCCCACATCAGGCTCCTTGCTTGGCGGGGGGCCTGCTTCTCCCTCAGCTCTCTGCCTGCCCCTCTGCCTACTTGTGATCTCTGTCAAATAAATAAATAAAATCTTTAAAAAAAAGAAATGAGAGCAGTGAAGCATTAAGTAGACTGAGAAAAACAGGGACTATATGTGAACTAAGGAGGAAGATCGAGAATTATTACAATCATGTACATGACTTACCCAACTTTATTTATTTACCTCTTTTTGGTGTTAAGTGCTCACCATCTATTTTTATATTCTACTGTCCGAAAAATAATTGAAAGGTAAGTGTGGTGCATAGGGATATTTGTCTGTTACCTCATAGAATGTTTCTTTTCCTGTTTTGGCTTTAGCAAACCTAAATTGAAAAAGCACTAGACAGCAGAATTCTGATAGCGTTCAAAGATCAGATCTTACTTCGAAGTTTCATATGTCTTATTTCCAGTTAGTTGAAGTTACATTGTAAGGAAGTGACCTGACAGAAACTTCCAGAAACAACACTGAAGCAAGGCTATCTATCCCACCTCTTCAAGTCTCAGGCCCTTTTCGAAGACTCAGAGGCTGTTTTGGCCGCTGCAGTACGTGTTAGAGAATAGTAAGAACATGGCTGAGAATTCCAGAAGTGCAGGGATCTCATGTCCCTGTGTGCTCCTGCTTCGCGCAGTTAGCCGGCACCGAGACTCTCAGGATGTGCTTATGAAATAAACAAGTGAGCACCTTTCAGGGGTCTTCTTTGTATCCTGAAGAAACTAAATAACCCAGGGATTCATATCTGAGCTTTTCTAACTGGGTCTAGAAAATGTGGGGGAAAACATGCTTGTTAGAATAGGTGTTCATCATACTGCTGGGGCACTGCTGCTTTTTTTGAGAGCTGAGGGAAGATTGAAAGAATGTGTTCATTTATTTTTATACTCTAAGAGAGTTTGCTATTGATGATTCTTCGATTTAAAGTGGGAGGTACAAGACAAAACCAAGGCTCCTTCAAGGGTCAGTGAATCTATGGAATTGCACGAGCTGCTTGGCAAACATAGCAAACTAACTCAAAGAAGTCAGTGAAAGGACCTTAACCCATGTAATAATATCAATAAATAGAACAGGAAAACCAATCAAGAATGACAAAATTAGCTCAAATTATATAAACATCTTTTATGCCAGAAGTTTAATGTGTTCTCTTGCCTTTAAGTTGACATTTAAAAAAAAATCTTGGGGTGCCTTGGTGGCTCAGTCAGTTGGGCATCTGACTCTGATTTCAGCTCAGATCATGATCTCAGGATTGAGAGGTCAAGCCCCCAATGGACACTGTGCTCAGTGGGGAATCAGTTTTCTCTCTCTCTCTCTCTCCCTTTGCCCCACCCCCTGCTCATGTAACACATGCTCGCTCTCTTAAAAAAAAATCTTTCTCGCTATGTTGGGATAGGCCATTTTCTATTTTCTTGTAAAAGTGGATCTTCTGTTAAATATCACTCTGGAAGTTATGGACAATGGCTTTGTATTTTAGATAAAATATACCATAATCTTGCAGTATACTCCTGAGAGCGCAAAATTATAACTTTGTTTTATCCTGGAACTTCTCTAATAAAATAACAATAATAAATAATAACTAGAATAGTCGTAGGCATCCCTTGTGTGCCTGAAACTGTGCACTACATTAAATTTCTGTGAAACTACATGAGGTTAGCAACTCGGTCACGTTAAGGACTGTCATGCACAGGTGTTGGGGCAGAATCCACATTTCATTGTGTTTTGGAAGGGAGGCCGCCCCCAAATTACCTGGAGTTTATTAACCCCTTTAGGTTCTTCCCACCTTCATTTTTTCTTTTTCCTTTGAAAGTGTCTTCTTATACTCAGAGGATGCCCCAAGGAAGCATCTCCTCTCCATTTATTTAGATGTGGTTTTTATTAACTAGATAGCATAAGATATGTTTATTACATTTTCTCTCTGTTTCAGAATAGTTTTCAAAATAGTTTACTGACTTTACCCAGTGTGGTTTATTGCTAAGGGATGTCAGGGTTTGATGAATTATTCCTTTTTCCTTGAATAAACATGTGATATGCTTGTCTTGTGTAGGAGGTAAAATTCCTAACTAGACTTATGATGGCTCTGTTTGACTTCCCAAACAATGTTTAACCATTTTGGTGGGTTTTTGCTCTTTCTCTGTATTGTCTTTGTGTGCTTCTTTTGTATTTTAATATTTTCCATCTTACTGATGTTAGTGTGTTTCTTCTGTGAGTTGAAACCTCTTGCCTATGTTCCTGACTTCCTTAAATTCTTTTATTCCTTGTTGATAAGATCGCCTGTTTATACTGTACATTTAGCTAGTGTGTTACTTCCTCTCTTTGCATATTAATGGCAGCATCTAGAAACTAGGCTATGCCGTGTTTCTTTTTCTTCCTGTTTTTGCTGTTCTTTTAGTGTCCAGTGAAAATGTTGAAGTACAAGTACTTATAAGCTTGATTTTGATTATAAACCTTCCTCATGCTGTAGTAATTTCAGGATTTACAAGAAAATTAAGTGACATGAGAGATATATTTTAACATCCTTAATATCGATGTTTTTGACTGGTAAATATCTTACCATTTCTCTCTTTTGTCTTCTAGGGTTATGATCATAGCTACTACTTCATTGCAACCTTTATTACCGATCACATCAGACATCATGCAAAATACCTGAATGCATGAAAAACTTCAGATAAGAGAATTTGTTCAAGATTATATAAAATTTGCTCAAGATTATAGAAAGGGAAAAATGATTTCAAGACATTGATTTCATAGTGCTAAAAATGCATCATTCCATAGTTGAATCACTTTATGGATAAATATGTAAAACCTGCTTATGATTTAAAAGTTATCCTCCCAGTGTTCATATGGGAAATATTTAATACTTTACAACTTTGTCAAGGTCATTTGAAAATCATTGTTGTATTAACCTCAAACCACAGAACATATGAATATAATCCCATTTTAATCATAGAATGCTAACTCAGGAACAGGTTTTAGAAGTAATTTAGCCTAAACCCCTCATTTTGCCAGACTTGAAATCTGTGAAAGCATGGACTGTCTTCATTATGTTCACTGTTAGATCTCTAAGTGTTTAGCATCTACTTGGCTTTTAATAGGCATTTAATAACTATGTGTTGTTAAATAAGGAAGTAGGCTCAGAAAGGTTAAGTAAATTCCCCATCATTACACATTTATTTGTGAGACAGCTAAGATTAGAAGCCAGATTTCCTAAACCCATTCCACTGAAATTTCTTATCTCTTCAGCCAAACAGATTTGTGGACCTTGATTTCTGGAATCTCCCAAGAGACAAGAATTAAACAATAAGATTCAATCTGAAAATAGCTATATAGGAAAGTTGTTTCATATGTTACTGTAAACACAGTATTTTCCTTCAGTTACATGGAGAAATTTAGTTTGGTGAGCTCACCAAGAATAGTAACCAGTCTCTGTAAGTACCCTATTGTGTTCCTTTAAGAACTTAATGAATAAACTTTTGAAACCTGATGAAGTCTGATTATTTTAAAAAGATTTTTCTGTTGGAGAAGCATGACGATTATACACTTTTTAAGTTTTAATTCCATGTAGTTAACATAGAGTGCTGTATTAGTTTCAGGTGTGGAATATAGCTTCAACACATCCATCTGTTACTCAGGGCTCATCAAGATTAGCGTATTCAGGGGCACCTGGGTGGCTCAGTGGGTTAAGCCTCTGCCCTCGGCCCAGGTCATGGTCTCAGGATCCTGGGATCGAGCCCCGCATTGGGCTCTCCCTCTCGGTCAAATAAATAAATAAAATCTTTAAAAAAAAAAAAAAAAAAGATTAGCGTATTCATCTAGTTCACAAAGATTACACAAATTAAACATTCAGTAAGACTGTCTATTGTAAGGTAATTGAAGAAGCCATCAGGTTCTTAAAGCTATAAAATTAGTACTATTTAAATGTGAATTAGATTGTACTAAAATTTTTTCAGTCAGTTCTACTGAAATATCAGGAGTCAAGTTTGAGCCCTAGTTGGGCTACACACAAAATGGTTCCAGTCTTAACAGTTTCGTGTCCTCTAATAAGGAAGATCATTTAATTTGTGAATTTTGTGCATGTTGTTATTAACTCCTTTGTAAAGGAAAGCAGTTGTGTACTTCTAAGATCACCATATGGCAGATTCAATCAGAGAAGCAGAACTAGCAGGAGATAGTATATATAACGCTTTTTTTTTTTTTTTTTTTTACAAGAAATTGGCTTATACGAATGTGGGGGCTGTCTAAACAATCTAAAATCCATTGGGCAGGCCAACAGAAAGGTTCGTGAACAGGATGGGACACCACAGATACGAGCCGAGGTTATTCCCCACAGGTAGGATTTCCTATCGAGCAAGCTTCAGCCTTGTTTTTAAGGCCTAATTGGGTGAGAACCACTGTATTATCCAGGATAATCTTCCTTATTTGAAATCAGTTGATTAGGGACTTCAATTATATCTGCAAAATCCAGTAATAGCAATACCTAGATTAGTGTTTTAATAACTGGGAGTTATACCCTGCCAAGCTGGCACAACATTTTAAGAAAATTTTTGCTTTGCCCATTTGCAGGGTAAATGCAAAAACATTTAAATACTCAATAAATAATTGCCAACACATAGGCAGTGATAACTCTAATAAAGACAAAGGCTTTCGGGGCACCTGGGTGGCTCAGTGGGTTAAGCCTCTGCCTTGGGCTCAGGTCATGATCTCAGGTTCCTGGGATCAAGCCCTGCATCGGGCTCTCTGCTCAGCAGGGAGCCTGCTTCTCCCCGCCTCTCTCTGTCTGCCTCTGCCTACCTGTGATCTCTGTCAAATAAATAAATAAAATCTTAAAAAAAAAAAAAAAAAAAGACAAAGGCTTTCAATTTCAACACAGAACTGGCTGTCAAGGATATGTATAGGAAGCCAGTAAATTAAAGCTTGCTATTGGGCTGCAAAGACTAGCCTGGGAGGGATGAATTCTTATATATGCCTAAATATAATATGTTTTCCCCCCAGAAATCATTCTCAAAGTTACGTTATAAGGAACCACCTTGTTTATTTCATAGTAAAAATAACCCCAAAATGAGCGTCTAATAGCTCTCTGTGCTTCTAAATGGCACCTGACAGAATCAAATATAAAAGGAGGCAAAGGAATAGACACACACTTCCTGGGTTATAGATGTAAAATCCTCTTTATGATCCCCTTAAGAAAGAATACAATACAGGGGCACCTGGGTGGCTCAGTTGGTTAAGCTGCCTTTGGCTCAGGTCATGATCTCAGGTCCTGGGATCGAGCCCCACATTGGGCTCCCTGCTCAGCGGGGAGCCTGCTTCTCCCTCTCCCTCTGCTGCTCCCCCTGCTTGTGCTCTCTTTATCTTTCTCTTAAATGAATAAAATCTTAAAAATAAAAGGGGGGGAAGAAAATACAATTCAACGAGGCCATTGAGAGTGAAAAGGCAAATTATGTAGTGGGTGAAGTTGCTTGCAATACACATATCTGATAACGAATCTATATCTAGAATATTTAAAGAGCTCCCACAAATTCACATTAAGAGAAGATGTAGACCAACAAGGAACTAGACAAAAAATTGAATGGGTAGCTCAATAGGATGGAAGTATGCCTAATAAACCCACGAAAATGTGCTTCTTAAGACCAGGAAAATGCACATAAAAACTATAATAAAATAATACTGCACACTCACCTGAGTGACCAAAGTTAGGAGAGCAGGAATGCTGAGTGTTGCCGGGCTGAACAGTGACCCGCTAGCAGGGTCTATGGAGCTGGAGCATGCGTGCCCCTACCCACAGTTCCACTCGAGTTTCCCCCAACCATAGCACGTGCATACAAAGCCTGCCTGAGCATGTCCTTAGCAGCACTACTCATAATAGCCAAGGACTGGAAACAACCCAAATGTCCATCTACATAGAATAGGTAAAATGGGCGTATATTCAGAAGGCAGAATATTCTCCAGTAATGATAATGAGCGTGCTACTAGATGTGGCCACATGGAGGGTTTGCAAATGTAATATTGATAAAGGAATCCAGACAAAAAGTTATGTCCTGTGTAAATCCTTTTGTGCCATCTCATGTAAGGTTCCAAGCCAGGCAATCTTCATCCGTTGTGTTAGAAGAGTCAGGATGGGTTTACCGTAACGGGGAGGGGTGGGACCCTTGGGAGAGGTGATGGGATGGTGGCACAAGAGGGAGCGAGAGAGGCTTGTTAGTACTTTATCTGGGTGCTCGATTCCTGAGTGTGTCCACTCTGAAAATGCACTTGCCCGTACACTTAAGATTTATATGCTTGCCAGGTACGGATTCATATACTTGCAAAGCCTTGCAGGATTGCTTGTGGTCGAGAGAACATGAAAACACCCCAAAACATTTACGAGTAAAAATGAGCTGCTGAACAACGCACATAAATTCAATACTGTTAACATTGTTTAAACCACCGACACAATATGTATATTTTCTATAGATAGAAATATTTCCTAGGAAAAGGTATGAATGAAAATAATGGCCATTACTTCTGGAAAGGAGACAAGCTTCAGAATTGAGGATGATAGGCAAAGGGCTTTATTTTTGATGAATGGCATCATTTCTACAACCGGAAGTTATGTGTATATATGTTGAGTTGTAAAACATTTATTTTAAACCTTCCTATTTAATAAATATTGGAAGCCAGAGAGAACCAACAGTGCCAACACCCAGCTGTGTCAAGGCCCAGAAACACACCTTCATGCCTTGTCCTTTCTTTATACTACTAGGACTTTAAGTTCTGATTCAAAAACACTTTTTAAAAAATAGAATTATCATAACTTGCTCTGCGAAATAGTAAGATTTCCAGAATAAGAGAACCAGATGTGATTCCCACGTCCACAATGTACCTCGGGCCTGATTCCTCATTTGCAAATGGGGCAGACAAGAGCCTGGCACCAGCTAACTCACGGGACTGTGCCCCGTAGCAAAAGAAAATGGCCTCTGAGATCACCATCATCCCATCTGGATGTGAGTGATGGGACATCAGTGCCGCCTGGACTCCACAATGAGGTGTGCTCACCTGCAAAGGTACACAAGACCGTTCACTGGAGTGTGACAGAGCTTCTGTCTGTATTTTTAGTTCATCCCCCTCCTGTTAAAATGCATATTTTTGTGCATTCTTTATAATGCCTGTAGCGCACTGCTAGGGTGATACACACAAGGATATGCGAGTAGTCAGATATTGCAGATCATGTGACATGTGGGAGACCTCTCCTGCTGAAATTCTCTTACCACAACTTTTTGAGTGAAAGGAAAGAATCGTGGGGGTCAGCACACTGAGTACAGCTGTGCATTCAATGCCTACCCTGTACCAAGGCTGGTCAGCTGTGGAAATAAAATTGTCTTGACTTTCAGTGGCCCCAGCCAGTCCAGGAGAAAATGTCCTTTTGGTCTTCAGAGAGGAAATCAGAGAGATCTATACCCTCATAGTATTTCGTCCGAGACCAGGACTCCAATCCAAGAGCATTAGATTTCCGATTTCATTCACGTCTCTTTGGCACCAGGTGCCAGCCTTCTGTCACTGGCGATGTTTAATGAGAGGTTCACTTCCTGGTGACAGTAGGTAAAGAAGAGAATCCTAGCACTGCCTTTTTTGGATGACAATGGTATCTACTCAACCAGTCAAATATCTTAACATGTTTCATCTCATTGGGTTTATTAGGCAAATTCAAATACTATTAAAAATGGGGGCATGGGGGTGGGAACTAGAAGAGGCAAGAGACTTTTATCAGGATGGTAGTTCTGGCATCCTGGGGTGTGTGTGTGTTTAAAACACTGCATTTAAAGTCATAATTTTCACCACAGGCTGTTCCAGTGGGGGATTGATGGCGTACTGCCTTTTTGCTCATTACTGGTTAAGCAGGAGTATTCTTCTCAGAAGACTGAAACCTACTGCTTTAGGAGCTCTTGTGAAATCATTTCAGTAAAAATACTGCCACCCAGTGTTTTATCAGGACAATAACAATAGGCCACACACTAAAAAGTAAAGTTTTCTAGAGCAAATAGCAACTAACTCATTTTCTTAGCTATATACAAAGAACGCCTGACAGACTAATAGAACGTTCTGGCCTTAAACGTAGACTAATCCAGCCCATACTTGCTGCATAGTGCAGACAGGCTATCCCAGACGCTGGGATTATCATTTTGATTTTAAAATATGAATTCTAAAAAAGGAAGATAATCCTGAACAAGCCTTATTCAGTTCTATTCTGAGGGATTTCATAATTTCGTTTGTCCCACTGCCTTTCTGCTGCAGCCATATTCCACGCACCCCCCACAAACTTACCTCCAGGAGAGTTCAAAGCAACCTCACAGAGCAGTTCCCTCGTGCGGGGTTGGGGGACTGTGTCTGGGGAAGCCTGTGTTCCATCCGCACCCTAGGGAGGAGCACAGTTCATTCCTAGGGCAGCTCCCTTCTCTCCTCCCTGCCACCCCACAGGCCAGAGTTCAGATTCCAGGCCCCTGCATC